ATATATATATATATATATATATATATATATATATATATATTCCATCATTTATCCCCAGGGATGAGACATCAGGAATCACAGTTCTGAACTGACTCTATGATTCATATGCATCTTAACTTGCTTGATACAATCTCTTGTTTAGGATCACTTAATCAAGACTAAGAATACCCACCTCCCCCCCAAAAAAAACCCTCCATTTTTTTTTCATTTGAAAACATCACTGCTTTATTTTAAAGAAAAAAAAAAGACCCTCCCAACCCAGTAACAACCACTGCCCAAAACAAACAGAAAAAAAAATCAACCAAACAAAAATATTCCAATAATAATAAAAAATCTTATTAGAAATTCTAAGTAAGCACAGAGTTTGAGCCACTAAACAGATGCAAAAACCTGACCAGACCCAACATCTGCCCTGCTTGGGCTTCTTTCCTCATCTAGATTAACTTTACTGTGAAGTCCCACCACATTCCAGGTTGGAATTTTAGAGTCAGGGTAGATTTTCCCTGCTATGGAAGAATACAGGCATTTTCCAGGCTTGCTCACATTAACCCTGAAGTATGATCAGTTCTGAACCTGTGCCTTCCTTAACTCTGCCAGGTTCAGAAGCAAGAGCATCAAGCCCACAGGATGACTGTGCAGTCCTGTACAGTATTGTGAACTAGCTAGCCCTTAATCCTAACTTTAAGCAAAATCTATGGCTGCACTTTTAAGGGTTTTTTTAAATATATATAGTTACCAATTTAAAAACAAACCTCCATTTTTAACAGGACTGAGCTTTTATCAAAATTGGAAGAGGACGGATGAGGCTTCCCTGGCTCTTACCAAGGTGAGGTAGTAGAGAATTGGGATTTGCCATATCAGAAGTTCTACCTTTGAAAATTCCTTTGGACAGGAGATGAAGATGCTACCTAAACTGTGGTAGGGCGATATTGAATGTTACTAGCTAGAAATATACTCTATTTTCCTTTCTGGCAGCCAATTTAGAAGCAGATTTTCTGAGTGTATATCTGTCCTACTTTATATAGGCTTTGAAAAACTGTATTTACAATGTATCTTTCATTGGTTGTAACAGGGTAATTTTTTTCATAGCAAATAGTAAAAGAAAATGTCTTCAAACTGATTTTAGAATTGTCCTACAATGACCTTTTTATTTTTTTTCTTTTTAAGGAAGGGGCCAACTATTTAACTAAGCTCCCTTTGAAAAAAAATCAGAATTCTACCATCAAGGAACTCCTGTCTTGATTGAAGTAAAATGGGTAAGTCACAGTGAGAAACAAAAACAAAACAAAACAAACAAACAAACAAACAAACAAAAAACTCCCATGGGTTAAATGGTAACTCTGTTCCAAGCACTGTACAACACACTTAAGATAATTCTTTTCATTTTAATCATATTTGCCTATATTAGGAAGCATTATTCAAAGTCTGTTTTCAAGGGTAGAAAAAGACATCAACATGACTGTAACTTCTCATTTACTAGGATTTGCTTTGGCAATTTATTTTCGTTCTGTTTGTTTTAATGTGATAACTTTGTGAATACTGCTTCCAATCAACATTAAAAAAAAAAGCTACTAAGCTTTAAAATACACAAGTTCAGGGGCTGGAGAGATATGTCAGTGGGTAAGGGCCCACAGTTTTTATAGAGATGTAGAGGTCTGTTCCCAGAACCCATATCAAGTTCACAATCACCTGTAACATCAGCTCTAAGAGTATTTAAAGCTTCTGCATGAATCTGCACTCATGTGCCCATACAAACCCACATAAATACACAGAAGAATCCACATAATTTAAGAGGAAAACAAAATCTTAACAACACACCTAGTTAAGTTTCTATGAGACTAACTCTATATTTCTTAGATTTGAATTATAGAACATGTTGAGGATAATCTGACTTCAGTTAAGGCAACTTCATTGACTGATTCATATAGAAAGAGTATCAGGATTGTCTATAGTATCCACAATTACCAATTGTTGAGATTATCTTACTAGGGGAAAAGGAGAACAAATATAAGTTTGGGTTTATACTTCATATCCATGAATGGCAAAGAACATTATAAATTCATTTTAAAATCTCATCAGAGAAACTTAAAGATTGTCAAGATACCTAGACAGAAAGCAGGTGCTGAACATATTAACCTGATAGACCTCTTGAGGTATTTCCTGAAAGGAAAGCTACACCCTATGCTGATGGTCCTAGAGCCCTGTGGTACTCCCTAAAAGGGAAGATAAACCCTAAGCTGAAGGTCCTAGGGCCACTTGGTACTCCCTAAAGGGAAGATATACCCTTGTAAGACAAATTGCTAAACAGTATTATTAATAAAAAAAACCCAGAGCCAGATACTGTGGTTAAAATTGAGAAATCAGAGGAATAGGACAAGCCATAGCCAATCTCACCTCACCAACTCCTCAGCTTCCAAAGAGACCTACTTCCTGTAAACCCACACCTATATGCCTTTCTGTTCCAGCCTCTCACTTCCTCTCTCCATCCAGCTATACCACTTCCTTTTTCTGCCCAGCTCTATCACTTCCTGTCTGTCTGTACAGACCTCCAGACCTTTATGGTTAACTAGTGTTAGAATTTAAGACGTGTCACCATGACTGATTCCGTTCCCAGTGTGGCCTTGAACTCACAGAGATCTGTATAGATCTCTGCTTCCTGAATGCTGGGATTAACGGCATGTGCTACCATTGCCTAACTTCTATGTTTAATATAATGGCTGGCTTATTTCTCTGATCCTCAGATAAGCTTTATTGGAATACACAAAGAAAATATCACCACACACCCTAAGCCAAAGATCCTAGAGCTCTGTGGTACTCCCTAGAAGAGAAAATACACCCTAGACTGAAGGTCCTAGAAAAAAACTTGTCATTAAAAAAAAAAGTAGTTTTCAAACAAAATACGGGAACTCTTAAACTTTAAGCCAACAAACTTTATTTACAACTCTTTGGGAAACAGAATAAAATCATTGTTGAAACATCATAAACTGTTACAAAGAAGAATCATGTGCATGCCCCCCAACCACAAAGACAGAGACATCTAGCTGCTGAAACATAATTGGATGAAGTGATAGACTCCATTATGGATAGACTCCACTTGGTGTTTCTTAGAATATTAGTCAGTTTGTCAATACTGTGACAAAAATATAACAAATATATTACTTAAAAAAATATTTATTTGGATTGTAGTTTCCCCTGAGCCTGTGATGGGAAGGGTATAAGCAATTCTTGAGATGCTTTCAAAACGCCTTTATATCATCTAAGTATTTGGCTTCTGTTCCATGATATTTATTCATTCATACTACATAATAGTAAGCACAAAGCCCACCATGAGCATATTGGGAATAATGAAAGATGTTAATCCCAGAATGCTCATGGTGGTCTTCTGTTCACTATTATGTCCAACAATAGCAAAGCCTCAACAGTAAGCTGACTGGAAAACAAACTCATGGGTTCATAACTCTGCTATACCTCTTTTTATGTGTACTTGGATAAATACTTCTACTTTCATTACCTTTGTTACTATAACGAAAATATGTTGTACATAGCGGTACCTCCCTTCATAGTGCTACTAAATTCAAGAAGTCACTACCACATAAGTTCAGGAAAGCAAGGTATTTATTACAAGCTTATTACAGTATTTTTCAAAGAGTTAGCACCCACAAAATATGAGTCATTGCCCCTCTTAGTGACCAGATTAGAGATGGCTCAGTTTGAATTTATCTTTTCTTCCTTCTCCTTTGCCTCCACCTAACCATCTCTGGCTTGACCTCTACACTATCCTCATAAACTCTTTCTGGTGTCTTCACACCTAGTTTCTCCAAGTCAGACCTTTGTTCCTTCTTTATGACCCACTAGACTAGCGTTTTATATTTTTTCTGCCAGTAATAGCTCTTTTTCAATCTAATGTCTAAGGCAAAGAAGTTGAATTTTTTCAAACCATAGCTCTGATCATGTTGGTCTCCCATATAAAGGACTCCTGTGTTTTTAATTGCTTACAGATATGATTTTAAATTGTGAGACCTGATGAGATGTGCTATTCAAACTCTCCCCTACTTAGAGTCCACTTTTTGTTTAAACATTATTCTTCCTCTGAAAACATTGCTGAAAGTAGTGGCCAAGTTAAACACTTGGTTTTCCACATTCTCAAGTTTGATGGTTGAAGGCTCCATCAGGACCATAGATTCTGACATTCTACACATCTACTCATGCCTACTTACCTCAGTCTCAAAATTTTGATACAAACACTATGTTAAATATAAGTGCCTTATATGCCTTCTGCTTGCCAAAAGAATTGGCATAGCCTTTTGGAACTTTTATTTTTAACTCTTCCCACTCACTGGGTCCCACATTTTCTACAATGTGCTAAATCTGATAGTTATTTTATCTTTATATGTGCAAACATCTGTAAGTACACACTATTTTTCCCTCTGTGTTCTGATTTTTATCAGTTTTCATTAGTACATTCTGGGAAAGAAGTTGGATATCTTGCTTTTAGCCTCATAGTGTATGAAATTAGGCAGCTTTGTGGAAGTCACTCCAAAAAACACAAAGGGCTTGATTTATGCTTCACCAGACATAAAACTGAAATGAAAAGTTAGATAATACAAAAAAAGAGAGATTCAATAATAACCTCTGAGCAATTTAGCTCAGTGCTCTAGCATTGTCAAGGACTGAGGCTTCTAAAGTAAGAGCCTCTACATTGCAATACAGTGGATAAAGCTCTGGCAGAGAATTGCAGTGGTACAGAGGCACTGCAAAAGACTCAGTGAGGCAAGGCTACTCAGGTATGAAAGAGTAAAGGGGAGCAATGTATATTTCTTCATTTGCCTGAAGGTAATGTTGGCTCTCTGTCCTGGAAAAGTTTAAGAGTACAAGTGTCCCACATTGACATATTTTCATGTTCTAATTTAGAATACTAATAAAATCAACTCTTTCTGAATATACTTTACAGGCAAACTAGAGGGATGCACACATTTTATTTTATCAAGAGTGAACCTAGGGCTTTGAATCTACCTCTTCATGCCACTTATCATTGAATGATCTTTGACATAGCTATAAATGCTGAACAATAATCTGAGAGTAAAGTCTCCCTTTCTCCAGTGCAAGCAGCATAATGTTGAGAAAGTGTCCCTTTTCTCTGAGCTTCTTCATGTTGATTGGACAATGAAACAGTGTTAATAATGTCTGCTACCTAATGAGAAGATCAACGTGTGCTGGACAATATTACCAAGTTTATTCTTTTTTTTTTTCTTTTTTTTTTTTTTGGTTTTTCGAGACAGGGTTTCTCTGTGTAGCTTTGCGCCTTTTCCTGGAACTCACTTGGTAGTCCAGGCTGGCCTCGAACTCACAGAGATCCGCCTGGCTCTGCCTCCCGAGTGCTGGGATTAAAGGCGTGCGCCACCACCGCCCGGCCCAAGTTTATTCTTAACATTCTGAAAATTAGTAGCCTAGTCTATAGAATGGGCAAGCTAATGGTTACTTGCTATAGAAGTTAAATGAATTTATAAGGCCATCATCCAAATTACAGGGCATAGCATGGACATACAATAAATGATGGAGAGATAACTGTTCTAAGACAATATGTGTCTAGAGATAAGCAGAAACATCAATCTCCATTCTATCAAATTAATGTGTAATTTTGTGTTCAATGTCTATCTTCCATGTTGCAATGAAATCCCAAAAGTTCAGAATTATGACTGCTTTATGTACCATTTGTTAAACAGTACTAAACATAATTCTTGTCACCTAGTATCAAGTAATATGTATAAAATGAAGATGGGCTAGGGAAAATAGTTTCTGTGGTAATTATGGGGACACACAGCTGGTAAATTGTAGATTTTTATGGACTAATGAATTGTGTGAAGTGTTTCCATGGTTGTTGAATGAGGCCATTTGCATTAAATATGCAAAGTATTAGTAATTTAGCTAGATATTCTAACTTTCTGTCTTTATTCTTCTGTTTTATTTCTACCTTACTTTCACACATTCAAGTTCTTTTCCTGCCCACACATTCTCTAATGTTTTCTATTAATTATCTGATATTTTCAAATTTAAAATATATTGTATATCTTGGCAATCAGTACAATTACTGGAAAGTGATAACCAGACTCTAGGTAGGGAGAATTTCCAAAGGTAAATTCCAAGAGAAAACAGAGGAGGAAACATGCTAATGAATGAGAGGTCAGACTTTAATTACAGCAAATTTACTGATTAGTTTTTTTTTTTTTTTAGATTTGCTGTAAACTTGCAGACATGA